ACCTGTGGTGCACAGGAATTATTCACGTTGCATAAACAAATTGTCTTGATAGGTATACATGGTAAATGTTTTTTATGTAATAGTATTTTAAAGGACAACATGTTCACACAATCAACAAATGGGCTGTGGTGGTGAAAATATGGGTGAAACAAATGTATATTCCAGCCACTTACCATTACCCTTTGAAATTTACTAATTTCAATTATTCAAACAGCAATTTACAAGTGAAATCATACAAATGACATATTAATCAAAGAAGTGAATCATCATTAGAGTATATTTCAACCTGCTTTAAAAAAACACAACAAAAGTAGACTGAAGGTATGCTGTGGTCACAGGTGACAGTGTCAGCCCTCTCTCACTCACCTTGTCGGTCTGCCAATCAGCCGACGCTGGGGTCAGACGGACCGCCACTCCAACGCAGAATGAGGCTGGGATGCTGTGCCTCCGCCTCTTTTTATAATGTTGCACACGCATGCCGGTATAATGACGTCAGGAGAGCTCTATGCAACAGAGCTCAGCACATACGTACCTTTTGGGGGTGTGGCTATGCTAATCTCGCCTCCAACTATTTAAAAGCCCAATCCGCCCAAAGCACAGTGCCCTGTTGTGGTTTCTAGTGTGCCTTGTGTCACTACTGTCTCTTTAGCGCCTTCCTGTGTCCTATTTTTCTGCCAAAACAGTCTGCACTATTATTTGTCATTTTGTGTCTCCCTACAAATATTTGCATGCACCTTAACCAAGAACCAACATCCCCCAAGAATCCAGAAACAGTTGGGATTGCGATATTTGGAATGTGAATATTTGGACTTTTTTATATTATTGTTATATTAGTCTATTGTTTTACACTTTGTCACAACCTGTTTTTTTTGTATATTTTAATGTTATAATATGTTTATTTCCTTAATTGAATTATGTTATCTACATATATGTTAGTTTTTTTTACAAATTTTTCAAGCTTCTACTGAAAAATATTAGCCCATCTAATCAACTGATAGCAATGCATAACTTTAACCATGTTCATCACATTAAAAAACACAATTTGTACTGCTGTACATAAATATGTAAATTAAAATGTATATTTTTCAAATTTGAAGTCCTAGCCCCTAGATAAATATCATTAGAAACAGGTATGTATCCTTCTGTAGTTAACCAAAAATAGCATAAAACACAATTATTTTTGATCTTGAGGCCATGAAAAAATGGACCTTGTTGCACCATAAAGTACAATATAGTAGATGCACAAGAACACCACACATTATTCATATAATGCAATAATTACATGGTATATTATGGGATATAATTGAATGCAAAGATTTGAAATAATCATCAAGTACTCACCATAATAATAAAATACAATAATATACATTATCATCAACATATCAAAATAATTGAGCTGATTCTATATTACTATGCTTTGCAACACTCAAGAGGTGAATGTGCAGAATCATCTTCCCCAATTAAACAGACAACTATCATTTGGTTTTAAACCTATTGCTCTCAAATGACTTGTTAAGTAGCAAACAGAATCATGATCTCATTATTAACCAGCCTTGTGCATTCCCTAGGTCATACGGTACACTTACAGGTGAACAAAAGATTTTTAGAAATAAAATTTTAAAGCAATCTTAAAAATATGTCCTTATGCTTATGTTAGTAAAGCTACACAACCCCAGGTTGCAAAATGAAAAGCATGAAACAAGCTTTAAAATGTTTTTTAGACTTGTGCACAATGAAAAAAAATGCTCGCCAGGATCTTTGGACAAAAAAGTTCAGCACTGCAGAATTTGTGTGCCAATGAAGCTTTGGAGAACACATGTAAGTGGCCATAAAAACAAACCAAAAAAAATTGTGAATGGTCAGTGGTCAATTGACAAAACACACACACACACACACCCCCACCATGACAAGAACAAAACTTTCCCACACACCTGTGTAGCATCAGTGATCATATTTCACTGTGGGTTTTGGAGGTTGTCTCTACACTAGAACTTGCTTGATTAATACTGATGGAAATATTGATGTTGGTAGTGCAGGTGATGATATTGGTGGTGCTGGTTGGTGGTAGTGGTGATGCTGATAATGGTAACACTGAATGTGGGTTAGCAACTTGTGCCAGTGGAAGCAGTTGCAGCTGATGTCTCAACCGTCTCTATTGTATGAGACAATTCGACAGCAGATACAAATGGACTTGGAGATGGTGGGCAAGGAGGAGAGCGCACACTAACTGCAGATACAAAAAAAAAACTGGGCTGCTGCCTGTTCTCTTCTTGGTTACTGGGCAAGTAATCAAAGTGCTATGTCTAAAGTGGTGTGGGAAACAGAATTATTCATTAACAATACCAACACCAGACATTAAGGACACTATTTTCTCTCTCTGATGACCCCCATAAAGTAGTTGATGCTGCTCTCTCCCTTAGTAGCTTCTTGTGGGAGATCCCCAAAAATATACTGTGTGAAGTAGCTGTGGTAGAAGGATATGTAGTGCCAGTGGAAACAGCAGCAAAAGTTGTTTCAGCATCAAAAGAATGGGAACAAAAATGTGCCTCCTGTTTTGTGGAATCAGATGAGAAGGACATGCTGCTAATCCCACTATCCCAAGGCTGAATACCACTAATAGGGATAGTGGTGGGGAGGTGTTTAAGAGAATAGTGATGGAGGTGCCAGCAGTCCTCATAGCTTAGTTGTTCAATCCTATTTCATCTTTGGATTAGTATGTGACATTGATGTTTTTCTTATTACCATAAATTAGGGATATGAATGATTGCGTAAAGTACCACAACTTTATTCCACAAAAACAGATATTTTATTGCAAAATGGGTTGGTGCTTGGTGACTTTACTACTGTAACATTATTATATCTGACTTTAAGAAACACTGCATAGTGCTCACACACTTGCACAACACACACTGAATAGAAAACACTCAGGACAAAATAAATAAAAATGGATTTTCATTATCCAAATACTTAACCAAAAGAAAAAAACATGTCAAACTGCAAATTGGTAATTCCAAAAAGCAAAAAAAGTTTAATTTATCTAAGAAAATAACTTTTTCCAATTTCTAAACAAGAAAACCCAAAGCATAAAATTGAACTTTTTTTTTCTTTAACATATATCAGAATCAGAATCAAGCCTTCCGAAACAAAATGTGTCAAATCTTATAGAATGTACCCTGATGTAAAAGAACAATATGTGTGTTTCAGTCTTCCTCTCCCAAATGGCAATCATATATCATATATAGACAAGTTTAAGAACATATGCTGTGAAATAGTGACATAATATTACTATATTAGTTTGAGGAAGACACCTTGTGAATAACACAGATAAGATAGTACTGATATGAAAGTGCCAAACAATTTACTGTTTTTGTATGCTCCTGAAATACATTATCAGTTGCTACTGTGTGTACACAAAAACAGCTTGTTTTAATGGTTTGCTTTTCAAATATTAACAAATAAAAATTACATTAACGCAAAATTGAAAATGTTGCCATCATGTCATTATGTGAAGGATGTTATTCTTTTCATCTCCCCAGCAGACATAGTTTACAAATTTCATTGTTTAGAATGTGGAATGCTACATATATAGGTGAATGTCATTTTTTTCCCCTGCACAGTTAATTGTGAGATACATTTAAGAACCACATAGTGCTTTTGAAGTGGAATACTTTATAACAACAGAAGATAAAAATTACTTGATACAATTATATTTATAATGTTTCTAATCATTTCATTATTATGATAAAGGGTGGTCTTAACAATTTTATCTATATGGGCAAGAGTACATTAGAAACATAATTGTACAGTAGGACTATTGTACAGTGCTGCAGAATATGTTGGCACCCTATAAATAATGATAATACTGAATTGTAAAAGTTGTAAAAGTCTGAAAGTCACTTTTAGGTGGCAACCTCAAAATAAGTGAATTAAATGGATCTACTAGCTAGTGTAACATTTTACAGGTAACAGGTATTGAAAGTCTATGATATATTAAAAGTAGGAAAAATAAGAACAGTCTAGGCATTCCAAAAGGCAACAGAGTAAAATATTCCCTGATCTTCCCTTGAAAGCCTTGGGCCCAGGTAGTAAAAGTGATTACTCTCCAAAAATACAAGAGTAATCACTTTTACTACAAAGAATATAAAATGCTAAAACGATATTACATACTACTAAGATAAACAATAGTATTTAATTTATTGTTGTATTGATGACATATTTTGTAATTGTGTAATGCTTTGAATTTTACCACATGACAGGAGGCTTGTATTTTTCATATCTCTCTTTACTAACTCCATACAGCAGTAAAGAAACACATAGAAAAAAGAACCAATCACAGGAGAGCAAGATGTACATAAGGCAATGTGACCTCATCATTTCCTCTTTCTTTACTGCTCCATCAAGCAGACAGGTCAGAGTATTACTCTTCTCCATTACTTTATGTTTCTATTGCCTCTTTGAGTTTGTTTCTGTATTACATTTTTTATATACTTTGCAGTATGTTCTTGCTGTGCTTCTGTACTATGTGCAGCTGTGTTTTTTCTGTTATTTCATAGATATTATATAGATTTAACGTTATCCTTATTGCATAACTTTTAGTTGTGATTAATATCACTTGTAATTTATCAGTTTTATAGGCATTTCATCCTTTGTTTTGAGAAGTATTATATATACTTTATATGTATTTCATGGATGTCATATGTATTTTATAACATGGATTTAATAGGTGTTAGGTGTAAATTTTATTATTGACTTAATAGGTTTTATGTATAGTTATGGTAGCTGTACTTTATACCATATGTATCATGACTTTTTCTGGCAATTTTCCTGGCCTTCTATACCTGGGGCATCTGGGGACCCTCTTTCCCTGCTTTCCTCCTTCTCCCCAGGGTCTCATGGGGATTCTGGGTCTGGCTGGGGCTTAACCCCTTCCCTCCCACGGTTTCCCTCGGCTCCCGCTGGCTCCCTTCTTCTGGCCTATCCGTTCGACCCCTTCCTCCTACAACCCTCAGGTGGATGGCCGAACTCACTGCCCTCGCTCTCTCAGGCTGCCCCATACCGTATACCTGGTAATGTGCTGGATGCTTTCCAACATCCACTACCTTGGTGCTGGGCAGTCTGTGGGGCAACCATGAGGTAACCTGAGCATGACCTGGCGGCCATCTTTGATCCCGCGTCTTCCGAGACTCCAGGGACCATGTTTCCCCTCGGCGGCCATCTTTAATCTCGCATCTCGCGAGATTATGGGTGGCCGTTTTGCTACTCTCGCCCACCATGATTTTGGCACTCGAGAGTAACATATACCTGGGCTGTCAGCTTAGACCCCAGGGTCCAAAGTTCGAATCCAGTCAAAGGTAAGTATTCTAACTAGCCTAATATTTACAGATTTGAGTCGTACTCATGTATAGTGGTTCGAGGTACTGGAACCTTAAAGGGATATCACACCAAAAATCCCTTAAAGGGATAGCACCCTCAAATTCCTTAAATATACCATTCTTGGACCCTAAGAGGGAACTCCTTAAAGGGATACCACCGCGGTACTACTTAAAAGGATACCACCCTGGAACTTCTTAAAAGGGATACCAAATCCTTAAAGGGATATCACCCTTGAATTCCTTAAAGGGATATCACCCTTGGACATAGACTACCAAGATGGTACTGTATAAGTACATATCAGTGATGGGAGATTTGAAAGGATATCATCTGGATCAGGGTTCAGGAATCTACAAGACTCTATGTCTGGTACTGAATGCTCAAAGAGATGACCCCTATCACCTAAGACTACCTGTCAGAACGGAGCTTAGAGCTAGTGCTATATCCTATTATCCATCAGAGATCAGTCACTTTTGTCTCATTACTGCTATATTAGGCACTAAAGGGCTTATTAACCTGTGCCTGCCTGGGGTGCTGCCCCTATTACCGTGCTGCTTTTTGGAGGTTGCCCTGTGGCCACCTCTATGATCCTGGGTGAGGCCCAGTTATACAAATCCCAATATTGTGGTTTGCCCTGCTGGGACAATTTGACAACACTAAGTGACAGATACAGAATACCCTGCCGGGGTTATTACACCTTACTGTCATTTATACAGACCCTGCTGGGGTCCACTGGCATTATTTACACTACAACAGATACTCTGCTGGGGTACCCCATATCACACACCCTGCTGGGGTTGTTTTAGTACTTTGAGACAATAAATTGCACACAATAAGTGCATACTACTGCATATCACACACCCTGCTGGGGTTGTTTTGATAGTTTGAGACAATAAATTGCACACTACTACACCCTGCTGGGGTCTGCATGGTGCATTGCACACAATGAAATGGATTGTGCTCTCACCCAGTCTGTTTTATTTGGCCGTGACCCACGCTTGACGCGTACATACCCTGCGCACCTGAGGTGATCTCTGACAAGGTATAAGCCAACCTATTCGGCTAAAAAGGGGACAGAGTCCCAAGCTTCAGCGCAGAAAATCTTCCATGGCGGTGCATTAATTATTGGAAGAGCTGTAGGACACTCTCTATCAGGCTGATGGCCAGCACTGATGGGTTCATACCCTGTGCAACCGGGGTGAGCCCCTTACAGCACTGCTGCTTCTACTCCTACCCCTCTCAACAGCGAGCTCGAGGATTGAAAACTCGAACTTTGATCTGGGACCGGCACTTACAGGTTCAGACCCGGTGCTCTCGGGGTGAGACCCCTACGATAGACGAGTCACATTACCCAACCGAAGGAAGTCTTACGGCAACAGCCTCTACCTACAGCTGAAGGAATACCTCCATTAATAATGAATCATGATACGGTACGAGTTTATGCCTTGTACCTATTCTGCGGCCTGCAGTTAAAGCCCGATGCCCTATGCACCGGATCCGGCTAGGGTTGCACTGCACTAAAATGCAGAACAGGGGCATGCGGTTACAACCGCTGAACAGGGGTTCCAAGCCACCTACTTAACGCTATATATTCCCCTTGAGGTGAATTTAATAATGGAAGAGGTGACTGACACTCTATCAGGGCGATGGCCAGCACTAAAGGGTTCATACCCTGTGCACCCGGGGTGAGCCCCCACTATACATGCGCTGCACGGTGCTGCTGAGCAGATGCAATGCTATGGCAACCTCTATGTACTGGGTGAGCCCCAGTCTGTTTTATTTGGCCACAATTTGGAATAAGACCCGCAAGGGTTTCCGTGAACACTGCCTACTGTCATAGTAGACTGATCTGTTTGCCCTGCATCCTGTGCCTGAATACTGGTTTGTGCCTTACGCAGGGGTATCCCTTACTACGATAAACCTACTTGACAACGTTATGCACTCGTGGCTTTGCAGCCTCTTGCTTAGAATGTCCATATCCGCTGACGGTCGGATAAACCCATGCCCTTCCATGCCGGTCAGAACGGCTCAGTTGACTATTGTGACCAACCGAGGAGGTCTTTCAGGATTCATGTCCTTACCATGGGCGATGCTGGATGCCGCCAATCATCTTCCAGGAACGGGCATACAACTTGGGTATATGGACTCAAAAAACAGTTTCTGCTCCTCGCAGGACACCCCAGTGTTGGCCTCTCCCATGGGATGCCCATAGCAGCACTCCTTCGCACTGATGGATGGTTGGCGGTACTGGGCGCAAAGATAGTCGGAACACCAGGCACAAGGCACAAAGTTCCTGAAGGGAACTTGTTAGACACGCAAGGGTCCCACGGCTTTCATAAGGGCTTTACAAGGGATTCTTTGGAACTGGTTGGCAACAGAGCCAGTGGTCGACCACTTCGGGACATCTGACCCGAGATCCGCTACCGCTAGCTCTATTACCCATATAGAGCGAGAGTCGACCAATGGTGCTCCAGATAAGCAGACAGAGAATGCGGTACACACAGATACCATCAATATACCTTCTACTACATCTAGGTGAAAGGCACTCACTCCTGGGGAAGACCACTTTCACGTAGTCAACCGACTTGCGTTCAGGACCTAAAAGACACGTCAGGACAGTCTTCTTCCTTCCCGCTCGACCACCTTACCCAGTTTTCAGGGGACATCCTCTCCTTCCTGATCCAGTAGCTCGGAGCCTGGTAGGCCCTGATAAACTACCGAAAGACGTAATGAATACAGGCGGGGAAGACAAGACACTCTCTTCCGGGAGAACCTCATTCAGATCACTCCAGGGAACTGAAAACTCGTCAACACCCACGTTCATCCAAGAACCAGCTGGAACCTCCAGACTTGTAGAAGACTATTCGCTCAGAGGATTCGTAGACTATTCCACAACTTGGAAATATTAAAACATCTCTCCACAGCACCACCGTGACCCTGTATGTTGTATACCTAGACTTCTTGGTCCTATACTTCACTACATGGATTGATAAAGAAGTACTAGATCTGCTGCACCCTACTGCAGGTAACCACAGATTAGGCGGTCAGGTTTCACAACCACCTGGATGGACCAACTCACGTTTATCAGACAACATGTAGGCTCCTTCGATCCCCGTATTCTTCACAGAAGATCAACCTGTCTCCCGGGGGAGACATATCTCATAGGGGCCGACTGATTTGGATATTACCACTCGTCACAGTAGTCGAGGCACGATGGTAATCACGCTCCGTCTGACCGGACTTCCCCGAAGGACTTATTCTTCTCATGCTTACAAGGTCTACAGAAATTCTCGAGCAGGCGAGGATCTTCTCCTGCTACATTCCTCACAGAGCCGTAGGATACTCACATCTTCTATCCGGGGAGGGTCGGCTACCTGGGGACCTGGACCAGCTTTGGGGGTTTCTTGGCAGGTCAGCGGACAATTGCAGGCTGCCGGGGACCTCTTGGGAATCTGGGAACTCAGGAATGCGACGACCCTACATCTACATCTGGACATTCCCAGCCTGTTTGGTTCGGTCCTGCATCTTGATCCCTTATTTGAGGATGGAGATGGAATTGCAGCCCATATCACTATAGAGGACACCCAAGGGATTGGATCCTCTAGGATACCAACTACCCAATGTCATATCTCTCCAGCTCATGAGTTGTGGAGGTCGTTCTCATTTCACTCTATGGGACTAAACATCCTGCTGACAGACGGTCAGACTTGGTCTTGTATAATTTCCTGTTAGATGGTGTATACATGGGCGCTCAACGGGGAAGACCTCCCCACAACGCCGAAACACACCGTAGGACTCTTATTTAGTTCTATACTCTTTTCTCAGCGTTAAAAATGCAAAATACGAAGCCTCCTGTCATGTGGTAAAATTGAAGATTATGCTATCTTTAGTGTACTAATAATCTTAATTTTAATAATGACAGGAGGCAAATATTTTCCCTCCCTGCTTCGCTGCCCACCCTTTCTATTCGTTTGCTTTGCAGATATCAGGGGCTAAGGTAGGATTGCCTCTCACATTGGTGCTTATATGATATGTTCGTACTTCTATTAATATGGAATCCTCATTAGAGTTCTCATTACAATTACTCAGTTATCAGATTATAGTTACTATATTCTCCAATGGGATGTTATGTGGTACGTTAATTGGAGTTACATGTTCGTGACTATGTCTAAACCTGTCACACATTCTCTTTTCACTATGATTCGTCTCTGAAGATAATTGGCAATTCACGTGAAAGTATTGGAGATTTTCTCCTTCGGATTTGTCTCAACCCTGAACTCTTTTTCGTTGTTCGTATAGAATTCTTTGGAAGTTTGCTCCTTTGCACATGGGAAATTGGAGTTATTATTAGTTTTATTGTTTGCTATATATTTACTTCTGCTTGTTGTCGCTTTCTGAAAGAGGAAATGATGAGGTCACATTGCCTTATGTACATCCTGCTCTCCTGTGATTGGTTCTTTTTTCTATGTGTTTCAATAATATCAGTTATCCTTGAAATAAAGCTTATCTACTTCACTGTTATAGTTCTCTCAATAGTTACCAAAATTGGGGACAAAGTTAAATTTTAGGCAAAACCCACTCCAAACGCTCATTCTGCATTTTTTTTTAAATTGTTATTCTCTTTTTCTTTGTCCACTTATTTGCAATACAACAGTTAACAGTTCTTCTCTTTTTTAATTCTTATGCTGTTAATGTTTAAATTAAGTAAAATTATATATTAACATTTTTTTTGCAATTTTTCAATTTATTCACACTTGTTTTGTTGGTACACAAATGCCTTTGAGATACAA